CATGACGGTCTTTCAGCAGTTTGGCAAAGCTGAGGAACAGGTTCAGCTGAAAATGTGAAATAGAAATAAGATCAAAGCATCTCTGATGCTGCCAAAAAAAACGAATGATGACAGGAACAGCAGATGAGTTTCATTTCTTTTTCTTCTGCTGTGTGGCTAAGGTAAGGTTAAGCATTCAATGATTAATAGAAAGACGAGAGGAATGTCACGCAGTTTAACTTCTTTTGGACACACGGTTAACATGTAAGAGCTACTGTAAAAGAAGTAGGACTGAAATGGTGATTCGACATTGTCGACAAATATTTCTGTTGTCGATTTTTTCATTTGCATTTTCAAACAGCGAGTTAGTGACTTTACCTGAAGGGGGCAGTCTTGACTATAGAACGAGTTGAAGAACAAAACCAACAATAATGGCGGAAAGTTCAAAAAGAAGCAAAGCGTGGGGGCATTTTCTTAAAACAAAAGATAAAACCGTATCGTGCAGAAAACGCAAGGTTGATTTAGTTTCCCATGGCAGTACAGCGTGTTTTTTACAAGATGTTTTTAGCAATGGCGAAATACCACAAGCTCCCACTAATTTGTCTGTTAGCCTAAAGTTAGCAGAGTTGCAGTTCAAGTTAATATGCTATTGCAGCACATTTTTGGTTTGCTGAACCCTCACCATATGGATAGAAGTCTTTTCAAAGAACTACAAGAAAAGGGATAAGGCTGGTCATCCTATCAGAAATAAATATGGGGTACTTAGAAGTTTTGTTTCTTTAACAATCAGCAGCTCACCCTGTCATAGCGTTCCATCGTTTGGGTTGCGTAAAATTGTTTAGGTTAAAAACAAATAGCTCGTCCTGTGATTTTAATACTAAGTGACCATTAAATTACTTAACAGGTCAGTGGTTTAATTTAATATGGAAGTGTTCCATGTCCAGAAATTGGTGTTGTAATGTTGACCTACACGCACTGCTGGACTGGGCCCCCCCGGGACCAGGTGACCCCTGCTCTAATGCAAGGAGTCATCGTGCACGATGGTGAACCCATTTTCACATTTCTGACTGTGCGAGTGAAAATAGACACACAGGCCGGTTGTAGCTGTTCTTGTGTTCAAACAGACCTTGTTGGTTGGGTGCTTCTGTCTTAATGGGACTCTCACGGCTGTTGTACTGGGCTGATACTTGTCCTCGCTCACAGGTGCCATACAACTTGGTGAACCTGACCTCCAGTGACCTCTGCAGCGCCAGGGAACTGCCCCCACTGGACCTGAGGAACAAAGCCGTTGTGGTGATGAGAGGCAACTGCTCCTTCAGCGCCAAGGCCCTGAATGCCCAAAGCCTCGGTGCCAAGGCCATACTTATTGCCAGCACTAAAGACATAGTAAGTGTTGGCTTTGACTGGCCACCTAATTGACCGGGTGAGCCTCTTGATTCCAGTGTTCCCTGGCCTTCTTTCCATTCCTTTCTGGTAAAACCCTCTGTCAATATTCTGTCAGTATCCCCCTTCTTACTTTCCGCAGGGTGCTTTCTTGAATATTATTGTAAATGGGCAAGTCGGGCATAAAGTTAATGGAAATAGAGTCTTCTAAACATAGAACCAGTAAATTCCTTTTCTGTTTATGACTGTATTTGTACTTTGTCTAGCAGATTCTGAAAATGTGGTGTCTAGGTTTTTACTGCTTATGCAGATACTTCACCAGTGTGTCTAGGAAACGTGCAACATTTATTTGGGATCTCAGTGTTACTCTCTGAACTTGCATACAACATTTAGTCCATTGTTTTTTAGCTCAGCAATACTAAGAAAAAGGAGAAGAAGACTTATTCTTCTGTATGTTCTGTAATGGGGTGCAATCCTGCTGTATCTCACAGTCACTGCAAAGAGAAGTGAAAGAATCACATCTGGACCAAGGCACGTGTGTTGGTTTTCTTCAGAATGAGCAGGGAAACTCGCACCAGAGAGCACATATTGGAAGTGCATTTAAAAATGAGAACAGGAGGCATGTCTTTACACAAATGGCAGTGGGAGTATGGAACGTGCTAGCCAGCTGTGTTGTTGAAGCTGATATCCTGGCTTCTTTAAAAAAAAAAAGCTGGATGAGGTCCTTGGATCAATTTACTACCAAAAGCTCAAATGGGCCAGAAATTGCCTTTTTTTGTTTGTGACCTGTCTTCTGTCTTCTGTTGTGTCCTTGTCTAGTCAACCCCATCGGCAAATAGCACTGAGTACGGGAAGGTCAACATCTCCCTGGCCCTCATCAGGTATAAGGATGTACTGGATGCACAAGAGGTAATCTCCAGCTAAATCTGCCCTGATTTGTTTTCAGTTTGGTTCAGTTTGTCAAAAAAGGGATTGTGCCAAAGAGCCTTGGTGTTGAATGCTGTGTTTCATGCTGCTGTGCATTCGAGCCCTTGCTGACCGTTTTTTCTCTTTCAGACGCTGGGCAACAACATCTCGGTCAGGTTGTACGCTCCCCCTGAGCCCGTGTTTGACGCCAGCATTGTGGTCCTGCTGCTCATCGGCGTCCTGACTGTTGCCCTGGGAGGCTACTGGAGCGGTGCTGAAGAAAGGTGCTTTTAAAAATATGCATTTAACCATAATGGGGTGTGGCAGGCCAGCAGTAATTATCCCGACAGTTTCAGCTGACCTGCCACTAGAGGTCACTCAGGCCTCTACTATTTGTAAATAGGTTCACATGTGGTGAAAAAGTAATAATAATAATAATAATTGCTTATACTTATATAGCGCTTTTCTGGACACTCCACTCAAAGCGCTTTACAGGTAATGGGGACTCCCCTCCACCACCACCAATGTGCAGCATCCACCTGGATTAATTAGGTAATTGGTGAAGAGCTGGAGCTCCGGTTTCCTCCCACAGTCCAGTGATACGTTGGTAGGTTAATTGGCTTCTGGGAGAACTGGCCCTGGTGCGGTGTGAGTGTGGTGTTTGTATTGCCCTGCAGTGGACTTGCCCTTGCGCCTGCTGCTTGCCAGTATAGGCACTGGCTCCTCTGCAGCCCTGAATTCGAGGAAGTAGTTAGAAAATGGATGGATGAAGATCTGGGAGTCACATTCTCACCGAGTTTTGTATATATCAGGATTCATGGTGAGAGTAGATGTTGGGTTGGGTAGTGCAGTTTTTGTGTGTATAGTGCAGAACTTAATGAGAAGAAAGTGTCCATGCATGTATTTGTCTTGCCCTCATGGTTTGTCTATGTGCCTAGGCTTCATGAGCCAACAGGTGAGAGGTAGGCTGATCAGATGGGTCTTTTGTTTTCCAGCAAAGTCTTAATACTGATAGTTAATGGGAAAACTCCCAAAACCCTGATCTCTTTGTCAACAGAATGAAGTGTATGTGGTTTTGTGCTTCCCACACGTGGTCTGGGAGTGGTCAGTCCTCTGGATTTGATGATGGAGGGAAGCAGCTTACAGTAGTTCTGAAAATTAGGACATTGTGCAGAAAAACAGGCAAGGTAGTAGCAAGAGCTTCTTGCCTCTCCTTTCCTATTCCAGGGCTGCTATATGGGAACAGCAGGTCAGTGGTGGATAATGTTGGTTCCCTCCTTTATGTAAAGGTACTTTACTGGATAAAAGATGCTACAGGATGTAAATGCAAAGGAAAATGAAAATATGGTGCTGAGTGTGATTTCTCTGCAGGAATAAGATGTCTTCAGAGGCTTACCTGGGGGAAGGTGGGCAGAGAGCGGAGAGTGGTGATGTGTTCCTGTACTCCCCTGCGAAGGTGGTTGTATTCGTCATTCTGATGTGCTTGATGCTCGTTTTACTCTACTTCTTCTATGCCTACCTTGGTAAGCACTTGTTACTGCCCATGAATCTCATTTTTTATATTTGTCTCCATATCTTAATAGTAATGTAGATTAGCCAGACTCCCCCTTCACAGTTCACGTGAAATGTATCTTAAAGGAACAACTGTTTCAATTCCACTTAAGAGCATAAGCAAGGTACAAAAAAACGCGAGGAGGCCATTCAGCCCATTTGGTAGTTAAAAGCTAATTGATCCAAGGATCTCATCCACCCATGCCTTGAAAGTGTGTAACGGCGTGTTTCATACTGCCACAACCTGTCAGGCAGCTCACTGGTCTTAGGTTTGACTTCCGCACTATCTGTGTGGAGTATGCATGTTCTCCCAGAGTCCTCATGGTTTTTCAGGGATGCTCCGACGTGTCCTTCAACGGGGCTTGAGCCTTATGCTTGTGGCACAGGCGGCGGCGGCGTTTTGTCGGTTCATGAAGCGTTCTGTTTGTGGTGCGACACCGCCTCCTGCTAGCGTCCTGACTCCCTCGGCTGTGCTGTTCTTGGCTCTCATTGCAGTGTACGTCATTATCGCTATATTCTGCCTGGCGTCCGCAGTGGCCCTGTACAGCTGCCTGGACGTGCTGGTGCGGAGGTTACCCTGTGGCAGATGCAGGTCAGTCCTGCAGGGTGAAACGACAACCACTGCCCATCTGCCCTGGGGATATTCACAAGGCTGTTGGCTGCACTTACGTGTAACATCTTGCATTTCCATATACTGTAATAACACTTACTTTCAGTGCTTTGGTTTCATTTCATGTTGTTGGTACAAATGTGAAACCACGAATAACAGTTCCCTTTTCTTTAAAAGTGCGTTTTACACCAAATATAGGATGCATAAATACATAGTAAAGTAATGTTACAGACCATTCTTGGTGTAGTATTCCATCTGAGAGTCATTATTGAAAAGGAAGATACAGAATTGCTAATCCCCTTCTCTCGTCCCTTCCAAATCTTCCTTCGCAAAAAAGAGGAAAGGAAAGGGCGACAAGCACAAGAACATGAGAGGCTCAAAGTCTCAGCGTACTACAGAAATATCTGCCATGCTTTAAAGAAGTTAACGGTCGACTTGCTAAGTGTGTATCTGAAATCTCCATTTTAAGAAACTGCATCATGTCTCTGATCACTGAAGAAATGTGGGTGGGGCTCCCTGCCTTCCTTTGTAAAGTTCAGCTGTTTCCCAGGAAAAGCTGAGTTTGTTACTGGTTATCTTCGGTGGTGTTAACATTTAATATCAAGAATAACCAAGTGTCATGTTTTTCAGTTTTACCTGTCGGGGCAAGGAGTGTTCGGTGATCTCGCTCCTCCTGGCAGCGTTCTGTGTTGCAGTCGCTGTGATCTGGGTGATCTACAGGAATGAAGACAGGTACTGTATGGAAGGCAGGGACTAAACAGAAGCAGTGATGAGTTCCTCTCACACACCCAGGACATGGTGGTAGGGGGTGGGCAGGACTGTAGGAAGATGTCTTGTAGAAGTTGTTTTGATGTCCCTGATTTGTCAAGAATAAATTACTGTTTTGGGCTATGATAGTTATGCTAATATGCAGTGTTAAAGAGGAACTGAAGTCTCAATTTCTAAGACCGGTTACTAAATCTTGATAAAATAAATTGACAATATTGCAAAATTTGACAGATTCCAAATTCAACACAAAATCGTGAACTTGGCAAAAGTACTGTATAGTTGCCATATTGTCAAGAGTTCATGAGAATTGTGACATGATGCGGTCCTTCCTGCTCACTAGTCACTGTAATGACTAAATGCCAATAAGTGAATAAGTACAGGTTGTGCTGCAGACATTTCACCGCAGAAATGTTTCGACATGATCTACATGCAGAGTTAACATGTAAGTGGTGTTATCTGCAACACTGTCTCAAAGTCAATAATAATATTTCTATTGGATTAAAAGAGCTATATTCACAAGCCTGCTTGTTTACAGTATAATAGGGCCACCGGTACAATATAATAGTCACCGGAGGTTTTGTTGCCTCATTCTGAATCACAGACAATGACAGCAATATGGAGCTGCACATGCCTGGAAATTTCATCTATTTTGTAATGTCAATTGGAGGTTTTACATGTTACTGTGTACACTTTGCTCTCATTGTTGTGTGAAATGCCCTCATCAATGCCGATTATTTCTACTTTAAATTATAAAAATAGTGCTGCAGTTCCCCCTTTAAAGTTAATTCCTTTATTTATTTTTTAGATGGATTTGGACTTTACAGGACCTGTTAGGAATTGCATTCTGTCTTAATTTTATGAAGACAATATCTGTTTCTAATTTCAAGGTATGTGTCATAATGCTTCACTTCTGTTTCCCTGTTACTGTCGTTATGAAACGGTGAGCTTTCCCATTTGTTCCCATTTAACTCGGGTGTTGCCATGGTGAAAGTGCCCTTGGGAGAAGCCTGTCTGTGTGGAGTTTGCTTGTACACACTGGGGTTTTCTCAGGGGACTCCAGTTCCCTAGGATAATCCCTAGACTCCCAAACAGTTTTGCGCAGCCCTCATTAGGATAAGTTCCTTTCTGAAAATGAATGGATTTCATACATCTTCCTGACCCAGCTGTACACATAAACTTAAATGTTTTTAACATTGAATTGCTGTCTACATTTATTAATCTACTGCAAACCAAACCCTTTGTCAGTGCTTAATAATCTATTAATGTATTGAAAGAACAGATCTGATTTATGCAGTATGAGGAATCTGTTGCAAGGGGCCATTCATGGCAGTGGTTCGAGCTGCTCCAAAGACAGCAGGGGCAGACCAGTGCCATCTGTGTGTGAGTGCTGGACATGGAGCCATGTGACCAGGGTGGAGATCAGAACAGGCTGCTGCTGAAGCTTTGAGCTCCTCTCCGTCTCTTGGGGGGGACGGTATTTTCCTTGCCTGGAGAACAGCTGAAAGACAAGGGCACTCAAGACAGAGCACTGAGCTGTCTGCCTTCCCTCTCTTCCAGATTTGTGTCATACTTCTGAGTTTGCTGCTGCTCTATGATGTCTTCTTTGTCTTCATCACTCCCTTTTTTACACCAGTAAGTCTGCTTGATGTCCATATGTGCCTATTTACTGATTCAACAGCTGTAAGTTTACAGTAAAATGATAAAACACACCAGTTGTATTTTTTATTACAGAGAGCTGTACTATTCACTGAAAGTAGCACAGAGTGAATATAGCGTCTGTTTCTCCTTTCTTAAATTATTTTATCCTGGCTAACCCAGGATTGCATTTTATTTCTGACTGCTCACTTCTTCAGATTTTTTTTTTACAGAAAATCTAACCTGTGGCTGCGTTTTAGTGTTATTTCTGTTTCGATTTTTAAAAAAGTGAGGTTTTCAGGAATAGGAAGATATACAGAAAGACCACTGCTGTTTGTTGCTGTTTGAAAAATATTAGAGAACGCCAACGAGAGGAATCCATTTGGCTCAGGTAGCTCATTTAAATGCTAGTTTATCGAGATGATCCCGTGCAGTTGTCTCGTTTCAGCATATTCCTCAGCATGGAGGAATTTTCCCATTGCTTGCATGAAATGTAAGAAAGTCTTCTGAGGCACAGAGTAAACCCAGCAGGGCTCTGGGCTGCGGGTTGATGTTTGTGCCTTCCTGCCTTCCACAGAACGGAGAGAGCATCATGGTGCAGGTTGCACTGGGCCCCGAAACCACAGGTGAAAAGGTAAAGCCTGGAAGAGGGCAGGCCTTGCACGCTTCTCCCTTTTAACACAGCTGCACTAACCATGCTGACCAATCTGATGGGCTTTTCCCGATTTTCTAATTGAGCTTATTGGAAACCTTTCCGCTTGGGTTTGATCCTAGAGTGACGGAAACATGGTGGACATCCCCGTGGAGCCCACAGGTCATTCTGAGAAAGTAAGGCAAGGGTTTCTCTTCACCTGGGGAGGGACGGGAAGACGAGCGGGATTGTGACCTGTGTCAGGATTTGCCCAGACTCGGGGCTGCTGCATGTTTCTGTTTGCACTCCATCACGGCTTATTCCCAAATGATTTTACTCTCTATGGCCAGTTTAACCTCTCTGCCAGGCTGTAATGCAGATAAAACCTGCTGGTCTGTGGTCTTGCAGAACTGCTCTTCACACCACTAATCAATGCCAGGCTCTGTTTCAGCACACCTTTGTAATTCTGTCACTGAGCAGCACAGGCAGATTCAAATTTAGTTTTTATGATAAGTAATGTTTTGATTGGCCTTACATCCACTCACGAAATTTTGATTTTTATTGATGTTTGTTGGCTTAAATTATATATTGTAAGGATGTAGCGCAGTGAACCTAGCTCAGCATGTTAATATAGTGCATGTGCATGCACTGCCTTATAAAGACTTTGAAAATCATTCTGAAATCAGTTATGCAACATTTAATTCTTACAAATGGTAGCAGCTATGAGACAGCACCAGTATAACAGAATATACAACAACTTTAATGCACGTAAAATCTTTCAGCTTTTTCTAACAGCTTGATTGCCTTGATTTTTCCACATTGCCAAGCCTCATGCTTGATTATCTGATTACAAGATTTCATGTTGCTGCTTTTATAGAAATCTAACTTCACTGGCCCTTCTTCCCCTTTCAAGCTTTTGAGGTGACTTTGTGCCCTGTGTCTTCCAGCTGCCCGTCGTAATGCGAGTTCCTAGATTCTTCTCCCCAACCCAGGGCCTCTGTGGATTGCAGTTTTCCATCCTGGGCTATGGTGACATCATCGTGCCAGGTGAATCTCTCACACACGAAAGACCACATGTGTATGCCATGTCTCCTGGATGTTCTTTGTGCCACGGAGTTGTTGACTGATATGTCTGCTCTTGTGTGATGAAACAGGCTTGCTGGTGGCTTACTGCCACAGGTTTGATGTGTGGACCAACAGCCCCAAGAGGATTTATTTCTTGTCCTGCACAATAGGTAGAGTATGAGCAAGACATACTATTGCCCTGTTTCAAAATAACCGTCTAGAGTAAGGATGGGGAAATCATGTCATCCTGGGATCAGTTACCAGCAACCAAAAGGCCTCCTCCACTTTTTGTTCCATGTCAGTCCTTGTAATAAAACTAATTATTGGGATAAGATAATCTGATCATAAGTTTTTCCTTTTAGGCTTGGGTGAAAAGCAGCATCACTTACGCCACTGTTGGCAGATAACTTAAAATAGCAGTCAGTCTGAAAAGGCTACAAAACAATTAAATGGAAACTGAACATTTCAGCCTTCAGCTGTTGATGGTTTAACGTGTTCAGTCTGAGAAAGATAGTGCTTATGGGCTGAACATGGAATATTTAGACATCAATGTTGAGCACTAACTGGGGGTTTCAGTGTTGAAATAAGAGAGTTCTTAAGAAAACTATATGTAATATTTTATTGCACTTGCCATACTTTTTGTTTACATTTTATGTTCTCAAATTATTTTACTGGTACTGTAGGTGCATATTCTAGTAAAATAAATTACACACTAAGTTTATATTATAATTATGAGTAAGTACATGCCTGCACACTAAGACACTGTGTGCATAAAGTAAAGTATAACTTAGATTCTGGCCCTTGGGCCCAGCCCTTATCCTGTATTGTGCATCAAGGGTCTGTCATTCTGCTACTGAGGAACCACAATCCTGCTGATTTTCATTGCAGCTGAACTCTGTTATATAAGTGAATTGTTAACTGTTAACCTTTTTTTTCACTTGGTAAACATGAGGGCTGGTTTTTAGTGTACGTGGAATGTGGAAAGGTTCCAGCCAGACGACTTGTCAGTTCAGTTAAGGATCCGGTTATGCAAAGATCTCAGCTGGGACAGATCCCGCTGTGATCTGAGGGGGTCCTGTCTGGCAGGGGCTGTGCTCATGTCTCCCTCTCTCCGCAGCCTATCTCGTTGGCATGATCGTGACGTTCACGGTCATGATTGTGTCCAAGATGGGCCAGCCAGCGCTGCTGTATCTAGTGCCCTTTACCCTCCTCACCAGTGCTGTGGTGGCCTGGAGGAGGAAACAGATGAGACAGTTCTGGGCTGGAACCACATATGAAGTAAGCATACAGCACGAGCAACCTGCTGTTCCGCACTAAGATACGTTCTATTGCTTGTTTGGTTTACGTTTCTGCATGCTTAAATAAAGCTCTTTAATATTTTATGGAGTGAATTATTTAATATTGTGCTGCCTTTTATTAACACACATCAGTGTAGATTAGAGGTTCCCTGTCCTGCCCTGGTCACTGTCTGCTGGTTTCCCTTCCAGCTGAGCTCTAGATCTTCAGGGCGAATTGGTAACATAATTGATGTGATTACTTGTTTAGGCTTTTACTAATTTGTTCCGTTGATCAGTCCTGTTTGTCCATGTCTAGGATACTTTTTTTTTTTAAGAACTCCAACACACACACACCTTTACAGAGCAGCTCCTCAACTTGCTTGTTGTTATTTTTGACTAAAGGCTTGTCTAGTTTTCAGTTGATGACGCACAGGCTGGAATGAAACTGTATTAGTGTCCACTGCATTGGGCCACAGTGAGTGTTTTGTCCTTCTACAGTGGTCCAATCTCTTACATTTGAGGCTCATGCCTGAATGGCAACAGTTCTGAATCTCTGAAATTGGTGCCCATTTGAGATTTTAAGAGCTGAAAGCAGATGTATGAATATGCGCCATATAGATAATTTAAGTCAGTGAGCCTGTGATTAAGACGTGCGCTGGGGCAGAACCCCGAAAAGACAGTGATGCCCCAGGACCGGAGTTGGGAACCACAGGTGTAGAGAGAGAACAGAGGCACATTCCACTGTTTTAAACTAGATCCCCTTGTACTTAGTTCAAAAAAAGTTTATATTGCAAGTTTACAAGAGACATTTGAAATTTCTTTGTTGCAAATTTGTTCTGAGTCCATATGTGTAAAAAAATGGTTTTGTACCTAAAGATGAAGACTGCTTTTGTTAAGTGTCGATTGCGTTTGGATTCCACGTGCTGAGAAATCTTTCCTGTCAGTGTAATTTAATCTGCATAATCTCATTTAACAATGTACTTTAAGATCATACCTGTATAGTGTCATGTGGTCAGTTTGTCAGCCCTGTGTTTCCTAAACATTATCATGATATAACTTCATTTTCATCAGGTATTGGACTCCACAAGGGAACCTTTATTACCAGGTGTGCTATTGCCTTTGTTTCTGAATGCCATTTGCTTCTCTGGGCTTGTAACATCATAGCTCTTGCAGTCTTCCTCCTCGGTTACAATCAGATCTTTAGTGACTAACACTCTCTTGTTTATCTAAAATAGTTGTATAATTGGTGTAAATAAAAACAACTCATTTGCTTCTCACCCCACCAGTCAGACATTCAGTATACAATATCTATTCATTTTCAATTTATCTCAAGCCTTCATTTACAGAACTGTAACTCTGAAAATCCAGCAGGTGGCGCCCTACCCCTGGAAGTTTTTAATTGCATTTCATTCAGACAGTGTTCCCTTTTCTCATTCATATTTTAACAGAAATGCACGTAAATCTTTCAGCCTTTTAAATAGTCCATTACGTGAGATTCTTGTCAACAGTTTTTTTTAAAGATGTAATTTCCAAACTGCTGTCATTCAAAGTTTGTTGATGTAGTTCTCTCTCAAAGCCAGAAGTTTTGAGGCTGAAAGTAAAAAAAAAAAAGTAGAATGAATCAATTTGGGAAAGAAAGAATTTAAATGGGAATTACTGGCAAGCAAATCATCTCATCACTTGAAATAACCACTTGTCTAGTTCAGGGGCGCAGTGGCCCAGAGCCTATCCAGGAAGCACTGGGCACAAAGCAGGATACACCCTGGACTAGATTCCAGTCCTTTGTAGGGCAGACACAGTCACTCACACACTCACACCAGGGCCAGTTTTCCCAGAAGCTCATGAACCTACCAATATGTTTTTGCACTGTGGGAGGAAACCGACCTGGACATGGGGAGAACATACAAACTCCATGCAGATAGCAGCCCAGGAATCGAACCCAGGGCCTTAGTGCTGCAAGGCAGCAATGCTAACCACTGGCACTACCGTGCCACCTGCCAGCAGCTCATATAGGGAGATATTTTCATTGTAATCACAGCTTCAACCTCTTCGTTGGTGTTCTGGTTTGGTGTTTTCTGCGATTTCATGTCCATTCCAGGCCTGTGTGTAGTGTGTGCTGCTGCTTGTGCCACTCTGATCTAAGCCACTAGTGCTCTGGTTTTGGCAGTGGAGATGAGCTTACTGTGTGGCATGCTGATGCTTTCTTGCAATGACCCGGTAGACCCGAAGGTACTGGGTCATGTGCTGTACTAGCATCATCTCTATTTGTTTTCACCCTCTAAAACAGGGAAATCTGTTTAATTTTGTTTTCTGGAATTAAAAAAACTCTAGTGATTGCATATTTTATGTTTATATGTCTCTTATCTGGTCTCATGACACCAGGCTCTTTGATTTTGTTTTGTTTTAATCGTCCAACCGAGAAGCTGTAAAATAATACGAAAGCAGCTACAGCACAATTTTTTTTAAAATATTTATTACATTTACAGTTATGGCAGGGTTATTATTTTTTAAGATTTAATCTGCCAGAATCAACATGTTAGTCTCCAGATTGACCTTGAAGATCCTGGTTTTGATTGGGCAGATCACACCCATCCTGACAATCCTGGCATGTCAGGAATTTTGCCTTCATGCTTTGTCTCTGGCACCAACCTGAATACAGCAAAACATTAAAATATTTCTGTGTGCAATACTATGTGTCAAACACGTGACTCCAGGAAATATGTGCTTGTGTTTTAGTCCTTTATGATCACTCCTCGCTCCATGATAAGATTCCAAAGATACAGTAGTCATTGTTTTAATTCATGCAGTGGATATTTTCTTTATTTGAGCATCGTATTTACCAATAGCTGAGAAAGCAATTTTTTTCATGTGTGAGGATTCATGTAGCTAAAGCAGAGACTGTGCATCGACATTGTGTAGGAAGACCGGCCTGATGGTCACGCATTTTCATTGAGTTTTTCATAAATAGATGTGCAGTAAAAAATTACTTTGTCACACTAATCATTTAACTTAATTCTTAAGAAGTCACGTTTTGATATTTTGTTTTGAACACAAAAATATATGCTAGTCATTTACAGTAAAGACTTGTGAAGTTGGACTTTTTCAGGATCAAGAACTGGTTAGTAATTAAATGTTGTTTTTTTTTGTTTTCAAAGATGGAGAACCAGAATACAGCAACGGAGGAAGAAAATGTTGACTTCCATTAAGATTGTAAAGGGGTTTAATTTTTTTACGTTTTTGTATTTAACTCAACGTGGTGATTCACGGTTATGCAGAGTTCCTTGATATTAATAATGATAACAAATGCTTCAATAGGTATTATGGCTTCTCCATTTTAGGGAGAAAATTTGATCCAAGATTTAAATCTGTGGGCTTAAAAAAAAAGTATTTGTAAATTTGGTAAGTTTAAATTTTAAACTTTTGCCACATCAAATATTTTGTTCTGTTCAGATTATATTTTGCTTATTATACTTCAACTTGCTTCAATTTAAGCACAGATTGCTGTGTTTTTTTTTTGTCTGACTGTACTATAAAAAAAGAAACTTGTACAGCCTATGTATATAAATACTGTATTGTGCCTGGGGTAGAAATGGGTAATGTATATAACGGAATAAGTAGGAGACTTATTTGAATAACAAATTAATGCATTTTTTTTTATTTGTGCTTCATTGAAATTACTAATAAGAATGCTCTCAGAATGGTTCTGTGGTGAAATACAATTTGTATTGTACTGGATTTCAATAATAAGTCTTTGCATTTTAAAGCTGTCAAAAAAGTAATAGAAATTGCCTGTCAATGTGGACTAGTGTCTTTGACCACATCTCAATGCAGATCTAAGCCCTTTTTCAATACCAGTGTGTAGAACTACTCTTAGACTTGTCCCTGGTGGCCCCACCAAAACTGTTTGGGTCTGTGGAGCTACAGCAGCATCTGGAGAGTAGATGCTCAGGCGTTTGTAGTTAAAATAGGCAACACCTGGCTTTTGGGAGGACCCTGTGTCCTCCTGCAGGTCGTTTAGGTAGGTGTTGGGGTGCAGTGGTTAGGTGCACTGTAATCCCTTTGATGATTGATTACAGAATAATGGTTTTCTTAAATGCAGTTAGATTTTTAAAGAAGTGATTGCAGCTGACACATAGTTAACCCGGGTTTCACCTGCTGATGAACTTTTCTGTGATCAGACATGGATGGCTCTGTTACCTCGAGGAATGTTTTTCTTAAATTCACGCTGGTACCAGGGGCTGGGTGTTTTCATTAGGTATCTTCACACTCAAATGCGTGCCTCTCGCAAAACATCCTTTTTCCAGTTACAGCACAGATCTTTTTCAGATAATTCTATGTGGGAAAGAGGTGATCTTGTTGTAAACTGCTGACGAGGTGCGCCCCGCACTTGATCAGCACTCCAGCTCAGGGCTGTGTGGACTGTCTGCTCTCTGTGGTTCTGCACAGCAATCACACTGCATGCACGTGAGACAAGTCCCGCTGCCTTATAAGGAAAATAAAAACCGCTTACAGTGCCTACAGCTTTTTCATCCTTTACCAAAAAACATGATCCTTGTGCCACATTCTTTTTTTTTTTACTTTCAAAGGTTGGCCTTGTGTGTGATGAAGTTGATTAAGTGCTGTGCATTTAATGTCATGACAGTGCAAATTCTGCTGCATTACCTGGTTGCTTGCAAAATGTTTCTTCTTTCCTATATTTCTGCTTCCCACAGTTTCATATGGGAATTTCTTCTTGCAAGAAAATAGTGAATTTAAAGTGTTATCTCCTTATTTTTCAACAATTCAAAGGTAATATCCTCCTGAGGTCCCATCTTTACTGACTCACAAGACGCTTTGATCTTGGCACACGTCTGAGAAGCTTTTGGAAAGGCCCTGTGGTGCTGTTTTCAGGAACTGGTCTCTTAAATCCTGTGGGTCTATGGAGCCAGCAGACTCGTCTCCTCAGCTGGCTGCCTGCTACTCTCTATGCTGAATCTTCTCAAGAGCCGGGTTCTGCCTGCATCCGGAGAAAGGATGTAACTGCCCCAAGTCAGATCTTTTCACAGGATGTCCCATTGTTTGTTGTGCTTTAATCATCCATAGTGCACTGTACGTCCCCCAGTTTACCGCCTCGAGTCTAGTGGTCTGTGATCACTGGGGTTTCCTCAATAAGCTACTCACCCTCCCTAGTCCGGAAAAATCAAGGAAATAATAAAATACAGTGGATTATCAATTCAGGCGGCACCCTAGGAGGGAAAGGGATTTAAAAATACTGGAACGTGGCATTCAAGTTTTTCTTGTTGTTTTTTGCACATTATTTTATTAAATTGCGTTTTTGACTATTGTGTATGTAGTTATTTCGCGTTTTGAACTTGTTTACTTGTTTACAATGTTATATAAGTTTGGAGTGCTTAAAACACAAATATATTACATACACGTTAAAAGAACATTGTTGGAGAAATAATACTTTTGAGTACTCATTATTTAAGCTTGTTTCATACAAAGTGAAACAGATTTATATTCAGTACAGTACCTTTTCGATCAGGAATCAGAAAAGTTTGTCAAGACTGTAACTGCCAAAAAATGTTAAAAGCAGGATGATCAGTCTCTGAATAATTGATAATCTACTGTAATTTCAAATTTTATGTCCAGTTTCTTCCAGGTGTGAGTTTACTACTTATCTTTACAAATACACAGAAGTGTTTCTAAAGTTTGTGAGTATTCGAGCAGAACAGTACGCTCATTCTGAGCCACCATGGAAATCTCCTTATGAATTGTTGGCTATTTTATTGACAGGATTAAATAAATTAAGATGTGAAATTGGTTTATCAAGACTTTGAAGTATTTTTAACTTTCTTTTAAATTTGCAAATAATTGACAGCACAAACCTTAACAATGGTGAGCACAGAAAATGGGGAAGAGGGATAATATAACAAGTTATGAAGAATAAATGCATGTGACCATGCTGTCAAAGTTTTTATACTAGCAAGATGTTCTTATGGAAAAAACGTACAATTCCTGGATATTTCCAAGATCAATTACAACCATATTTTTCTGCAAGTGATGTGTTTTTCTGTGAACTTGCTTCCACTGGATAATTGTTCTCCATTGTTCTGTACAAAATGACACCATTTTTAGAATTAAACCTACAGGTGTACAATAAGCGTATGTTGTGCAATGCAATGCATTTTAATGTGTAAGGGCGTGTGCTCGTGATCATTTTTTTATTTATAAATTCCGATTTTACCAGGAAACAACGTTTATCAATTCTCATCACCTGTGTGGAGAGAGAATTGATAAACTGTGTTGCTGAGCTATGAATCTGATCCCTCTTTACTTCCAGTAACAGGCTTCTTTCTGGTCACCGAGTTACTTTGTGTTGAGAGACTAGAAAAGAGTGTACATGACAAAAACATCAGCACGACAGTGGTAATTACAGTCAGGTTTCACTTTTTTAATTTGATGAATAATGCACTTAATGTATGCACAACAAACACTGATAGAACAATGTGGTTAATTTAGAAAAGGAATGACTAAGGAACAAATTTGCACCTGTGTGCACTTTAAAAACATTCAAGTATTCATTTTAGTTTTTTTTTTAATTTTCCTTATTATACATGTTGCTTTTCTACTACCACTTATTCCTGTCACACTCTCAAGTATTGTCACCTAGTGTATACAAATGATTTTTTATGGTTAAACTGTTTTTCTGTGTTTCGTGTTAACTGCTGGCTAATAAGGGGATGGTTTGCAACTGCTTCTATAGATGTCTTAATCATCTGAACACAGCTGCATCTTGGAGAACATTTTCCATCCCGTTCAGTCACTGCCAGCTGTTTCATAGTGCCACCTTCCCGAAGGGCCACATTATGAAATGGAAACAATCCTGTGCAGCCCTGTCTTCACATACCTCTTCTTTCTTCACTGAACAGCATTGGCTCATTGACTGTTTCCTTTTACTACTGATCCTGGTTTTCACAACTCACTTTGACCATCTTGCCTAATCCCTGAACTCCTCCCTCTCCCGTCCTGCTCTTTCCTTCTCTCATACGACTAACCTCATCTCCTTATGTCTAACGCCAGCCCGACACTGTCTGGTGTAGTCTGTACTTGACAGTCCGTAGTCTCCTCTGTCTTTCACTCTCATTGAAACCTGTGAGACTCTTACCTGCTGACTGGTATCAAAATGTCTCTGTTTGTTGTAAGTCACTGTGGACTAGGGCTCTTGCAAAGCAAAGTAAAAACAATGAGAAGAAGACACGGTGCTTGCTCACAACATGTTCAGCTAAAACCCAAAAATAAATGCATGCAAATCATCAATGGCTTCGGTCATTGCTCAATCCCAAGAAATCAACGGGAGGGATTTTATCCTGGTTTCTGTAATATTAAACGGTTTGAGAGCATGCAGCTGAACAGTGACATGGCTACCCTTGCTTGACAGGACACCAGTAGTGTCCATAATAGACACAACCATAACTACATGGTAGGAGTCCAGCGATTCCAATACAGCATATAAAACTCAGGTTAAAAAGGCTCATCAAGCCATTCATATCCAACTTTCCTTCATGAACCCAATATTCAGGTAGCACCAGACTCTGAAGTCCATTTGTTTCTGTTTCCAAATTTGATACTATAAAGAGACTGGGCTATTCTCTAAATTTGAAGCTGGTAGACTTTCTCCTTGGCCTCTTGCATGGCATAGTATACATATTGTGTGCCAATTTCAAGACCAAAACAACGTGTTTTTTATATCGAAAGATGTTATTAGTGTTTTGCTGCTCCTTCAATTCCTTTTCTAGCTAAACATGTTGTAAAGTACAACAGCCATGAACCTAAGCTTTATGGCAGCCTTTACATTGGTAACAAAGAAGATTTTAATACCTTTATATGCTGCTTTTAGCATTTACATTATTTGTTAAAAATACAAATAAACATTAATCTCATCTAACTAAATAATGATATTTAAATGCTCGTTTGAGTCTTGTTTGATTTTTGCTGATGGGCAAATTGAAGGTTGCTTAAATGACTGTTTTGTGCAGATGTAATGTCTGTAATCAACATGCAAATTATAGCCGTTATGTCGCATACTGAAATTCCTCAAACGATGACATGCAACCTGTTTTATAAAAGGTGATTACTGTCTTCCAGTGGTTACTCTCAGAAGGTCACTGATGTAAAGCAAAGAATGAATTCTCTCTTATTTTAAGAAGGAAAACTGGCAAATGATAAAGGTAAATTCTACCCATTTCTTTGACTTCTGTAATCTACATCTAGAAAAAGACTTATCTTTAAGTATATCTTTAAGTTCTTTTGACTTAACTACTGCATTTTGATTTCTAAGTCATATTAAATACAAATGTTTATTAGTAGTTTCTCATCTCCATATAGAATCTAATCTTTTATTTTTTTTCTTAAACGAGCGTTTTAAATTAAATTGACCTACATCCGAATGATCTTTTTTTTCAGAAATGTCATAATTTCTACCAGTTTTCCCAAAAACATTTTTGCCTTTTCTTTGCTGAATACCACAACACCAACTTCTCTCGGTTTTTTATCATGTCCTTTGGAGATGTAGAATTGTGATCGATTTTCATGCTAATTCATGCTAATTATTAATATTTTAAAATCTGATTGGCATAGAGAGAGAGGGAAAAAAGGATAACTCTTTTGTCTGTTGCAAATCTGGAAGCAAAGTTTTGTGTGAAGACACTGAGGTGTAACAAGGCATCAATTTAATAATGTAGAAATTAGACTCAGCCCTTTCTTTAGATTTGAGATTGGATACGTCTGACATTTTGTCGGCTGAGCTAAAGTATCGTGAAAAAGCAAGACCTTATTGATATTAATTGCCATAATTCATAGTAACTGCGGGCTCTTGAATAGATATCATATCCTTGAAAACTGTGAAGATATACGACATCAGCAGGTTTGTTTTATGATGGTTTCGTAATCTGCAGGCTACTTGACAAACAGCTTTCATTGTATTCCCTGTCTGCCACGCCTGACTTACAAGAGCTAATAAAAAATGATTATGTGTGCATAAATGTATTCTGAAACCAAGATATCAAAGAGTAGTGAATTATATTACAGCAGCATTAGTTTTCTGTTTTTCACGACCTGCCACAGTGTTTTACAGTAGCCAACAACCTTACTGCTTTTTTAGTTTTGTGATACTTGACTCCACTTTTACTCAGTAAAAAAGACTTGTAATAGTCTCATATCAGGAGTGCAGAACACTGCTCTTCTGTTTAAGCACTGATATCTTTTTGACAATTTTGGTGGGCGCATTTAAAATACGTAATGTCACGTTAAATAATTCACAAATATCTCGCAAATTCAGTACACGGTTTTTAAATCGTTTTTCGGCATAAAAACTGGCATATTGGTTGTTCTGACCAGTCGCGCCCGTAGGTGGTAGTATTTAACTCACTATGAAAAGGGCCGTCAAACCCTGAGAGCCAATCATTTAGCGTATCAGTTTATTGTATAGCTCTGTATTCGAGTTATAAATTATATTCGATGTAATAATTTTGTATGAAACAGATTTTGCTCGTATGTAGCTGGAAAAACGGTTTAAAAAAACATTTATAACTGTCGATATAAAGTGTGCGCTTTTAGAAAGTTAACTGGGGGAGTCCTTATTTTTCTCACTAATACTCTATTACATGATTTGTAACCGTTTCATGACACTGACCACTTTCACTATAAATCTAGTTTAGAACGATACTTTTTAGTAATATTCAGCACATCCTGCTTAAATCATTTGGAAACTTATTTTATCACTTGAGCACTGGGTGTTAGTATGAACCATAACTAGTGTGGTGTTAACATGAACCACTTTAACTCGCTTCTGCTGAAATGAAACGCCCCCAACGCTTGAAACATCTTTGTGAAAAGCAGCGGATACCATTACGCCACTGCCAGGTTCTTTCGGCTGGGAAGGAGACGCGCCGGCGGTCGCCCTTCGTACCGACCCGAGCCGCGGCACCCGCGCACCCGGCCCACGCGCTGCCAGCGGGCCCGCCCCCCGCCTGCTCGCCCCGCCCCACCCGCAGCACTCCCCGCCCCGCGCCACGTGACCGGCGGCGGGGCTGACTCAGCTGACTCGTCACGCAGCGTCAGTTCGGAGTCGCACAATTATGAAAAAGCTACCTTCCGCTGGAGCTGGAGCGGTGGCACATTCCTCCAACGTCAACCGAGCTTTCCTGCCAGGGCTAACCGGGGGCACCGCCGATAGATGGCTAAAGGCCACGGAGCAGCTCTTCCTGAGTCTGAACGGTGAAGAGAATGGTACGACCGCTGCGTGTTTCGCCGCTTTTGCGCTCGGAGCTGGGGCTGCGTGTGTGGGGGCTGGCGGCGTGTCTCCGTCCGTGTGAGAGGCAAGTCGCTGCCTGCTGTCAAGGCACGGGAACAATGTGCCCGAGGTACGGTGCAATTCGGGCAGAATGGTAGACAGCCTCCGGGCAGAGTTCTAGTTGTCTTCGCACGGGAAAAAAAAAAAAATCATTTTCATCTGCAGCGCCCTCTCCTTTTCCCTTGCAAGCGCCGTAAAGGGTTAAACAAGTGCAAAGTCGAGTCGCCTTGCACCTTGCCTCCGTGTGTGTGCGCGGTGGGTAACTTCGCGGGAGCAGCCGGGGCTGGCCGCCGCGGTGAGACGGGAGAGTACGGCCGCGGTGAGAGCCCCGTCTCGCCTTCTAAAAGCTGGGAAGGGCTTGAGGTCGGTGCCGCTGTCGCAGGCGCCTGGTTCCTCCGGGCTTGGGCTGGGGTGTGCGGCGTGATGTCTTCAGTGCACAATAGAGGAAAATGAAAGTCTAGACGGTGCTGTTGGGCTTGTGTATCGCGAATGTGTGGGGACTGCTGTGGTTTCAACACGTTGACGTTTAGTACAGATGAAGGTCTCCTGTCCCTCTGTGGGCCTCGGGACAGAAAGGCATTTCGGTGTTGACCTTACTTCTCGGAATTCCCCAATCGGTTGTTGCCTAATTGTTCGGCATTCTAGATGTGCTGGGACATGCTGTTGGGTTAAGTGTCTCAGGATCATTCTGCCCCTCTCCGGCTCGGCGAGTATGGAGCTGGGGCGGGTGCCGTTTCAGCTGTCATGACCCTCTCGATGTCCCGACGCGAAGTTGAATCGATAGGTGTTGGCTCATTGATTAGCGACATTGTGGTGTCGGGGCCGGGGAAGCACACGTTCCGGAGGCTTGCCGTTGTTATCAGACACGTTTGTGCAGCATTCCTGAGCACATCATCGATTTCATCAGTGCCTTTATCCTATAAGATTCGCTCTGGTTCACGTTTCAGGGACTCGGATACACCGCTGTTGACAGCGGCGAGGCTGATCGCTGCGAAACGGATCTAACCTCTTAAGAGTTTCTTACGCGTTTTTCAGTCGGGAAAGCGGTGTCTACAAACTGCCAACGATTTAAGAAGAAGGTACCTTAAAAGTGATCAGAAAAGAATAGCACACAGTTAAATCTAATGACCTGCAAGCACAGATAGAACTAGATAACAGGCTGAAGAGAGGAATATTGCTGTGGAGGTTAAAATGAGCAGTAACAAGGCAAAAAGAATACTACTTTACTATGATTACCACAATACCACGGGATCTGTAGCAGATCCCTGTTCACCATCTGTGTCCTGGATCTAGATTCCGATATAGTTCGTAAACTAGTCAGGTTTACACATGAGACCAAAACAGGCGGATTAGCTAGCACGAAAGAGCTGCATGGGAAATTCAGGAAGATTTAGTTGGAATTAAAGACTGTGGAAATACCTAGGAGAGGATGATTCATGTGGATGAATTTAGAGTATTGCACGCAGGTTGCGAAAACATAAATCTATAGATACAAAATGGGTAACTATTGCTAATGATGCTTAAAAAGCACTACATTTGTTTATTCATCTGCAATTTCTAGAAAATGTGGAAAAACAATATAAAAGGTGCACGGGATATCTGGTTCAAGGTATACATTTAAAATCAAGAGAATGTTAAAATGTAATGGTCAGGCTGAATTTAAAATACAGTCCGGATTGTGGTCATCATATCATGATGAAAAAGATATTGTTGCTCAGGAATCGGTGCAGAGAAGAGCACATGGCTACATTCCAAAGCCTAAAGTAATATAATGTGCTGTTGGGGTAAAAGAGCTTAACCTTTTTAGGTCTGAGCAGGGAAGACTGTGAAGGGACCATATTGAAGTATTGTGAATTGTCAAAGGCACTGAAAGAATCAGCCCAGTGGGCTTCTTCAGAATCTGCAGATGTAACATATACACCCCTGCGTAAAACGAGGATCTCAGCCGCCCAGTCTGAGGGAGGTCTCCTTTAGCTCAGCTGGCAAGTTCCCTCTTGCGTGACACCGGGGACCCGGGTTCGTGCCCAGGCAGCGAGGGACGAACTGGCAGGGCAAGGGCGGAGACCCCAAGAACCGTTCCGCAGAGAAATGCAAACATCTGAGCGCCTTGCTGAAGTATTCACTCATTCCAGCGTTTTAGTCATTTTGTTCAGTTACTAATGATGTACACCTGTTTTTTAAAGTGCATTATTTTATAAATCAGTGTAAGTGCTCAAGCTGAACACATTTATGAGTAAAAGATGTTTGTCGGCAAAATCGGCAAAAAAAATTATAAAGACCCTGCTCTAAGAAACCTTAATTATGTGCACCTGGGCTAATTGCTTTGACAAGTCACACAGTTAGATTGATGTGTCACACTGGGGACGAGTGGTTGAAATGATTTTAGAATAAATTATCCTGTCTCTTTAAGGTTCCTCAGTCAGGTTGTGAATTTCACGCAAAGACTAAACCATGATAACTAAGGAGACTCAAAGCCATTCAGGCTAAGGTAGTATGAGGGTTACTTTAAAGACCATGGAAGTTGTATCAGGGTATAACAATGTTCAGAGACCCTCACTGGTCCTTTTTTTAGCTCGGTGAAGTTGATCGGGAAGAAGTGGAAGGCAGCCAGACACCGCCTCGATCAGGCTGTCCTTCTCAACAGAGCAGCCCGGCAAGAAGGAAACTGGTTAGGGATGCAACTGGGGTGGACACAGGAGAAAATCTCCACGAGTCAGGAATATCCTGGTCACCCCACAGTGCTGGATTGATTTAGGGAGGGTGAACACTGTTTTGTCTGTCATTTAACTTTTCACCCAGGAATACTTTTAGACAACAGGTAGTCAATTTTTCAATTTGTGACTTCTTCACTTAAAATGTGTATCCATCATTTGTGACTCAGCAAAGAAGGGTGTCACTGGAAGAGGGGTAAATACATTGGCAAAGCACCGTAAGTGGAATACAGTCGAATTGTATTTAAAACTGAGAACACCTGGCATTTCTGCTGGGGGTATGCGGAAACAAACCTAGTCTTGTTGTTGAAGCTGATATCCTGGCTTCTTTCATGGAACATGGGATACAATCCTCAGATCAGTTAGCTACTAGAAACTACCACAAGGACTTAGGTGAGCTGAAAGCCCGCTGTTTGTCACCTTTATGTTTTTCCAGTGGGGAAGAATATAGAGTGAAGACTGGAGAGACTTGATCGAGTACAGTGGTAAACGTTTGATACGATGTGCTTCTGTTGAAGGGAAGTGGTGTGTGGCAATTCTTCCCTTCATACCCCATCGTGAGCTTCCCTGATTGCCGTCCGAAGCAGGCAGAATAAAGCCTGCAAGACACTGCAGAAATTAAATATTGGATGTTACAGTGTTACTACTGTTTTGAATTACATTTGTCTACTGTACTGACAGTTCACTGTATTATCATCATGGTATTTGTCATTAGTCTTCCTAGAAGCATTGTAGTGAAATGTCCTGATTGCACCAAAAACAGTATTTTTCCATATATTTTATTTAAAAAAGTTGAAATTGTGTTGAATATTGGAAGGGAACATGAAGACATCCCTAGTGTGGATTGTACTTTACAAAGTACAGATTTAACGTTTCATTTGTATTAATGTAATATCAGATTTCTTCTATACAGCATTTAAAAAGCATGTTTTCAGCCTCTCCAGTTGGGTAATACCCAGCAGAGTTACCATTTAGTTCCTCAGAAAACTGCACTTCCCTCCCTCGAAGTTGCTCATGTCGTCTTATGCCTCAAGACCTGTAGTGTATTTGAGCTGTGGTGTAATATGTTTGTGATTTCACATACAGACAGACCATCAGAGCTAATGCTTTGACCATTCTTTGCTTAATCCTTTTTCTGAACTAAAGAGATTTTTTTTTACCCATAGTATTCTAAATAGAAAATTAAAACGTTTCCTTAAATGAAGTCAATTTGAATTTAGCAGGATGTGAAAATTGTATTACAGCTTTCTGGTAAATTGGAATGATTTGTGTGCGGGGAAGTAAGATTTAAGCGCCATGTGATGAAGTAATTAAAATCTAAGCTCAGCCGGTACCTGTGACCTTGGACAAATGCACTGTTTTGCAATCCAACATTGATTTAGGTATTTTAGATTGCGCAGAGCACTCAGTTTGGTTTTGGAGTGTTCTCGAAAAATACAATGTGCTCTTGAGTTTTATTTGTTTTCCTCGTGTACGTTTATTTTTCTTTGTATTGTTTTTGTTTTTAACGAATAAAAATTACATGAATGTGTGACCACTCGGGATTTCCCTCGCGTAGTAGTGTTGGTTCCTTCTATTGTGTGTAGTGTGCGGTAGTGGTGCACTTACTTTCTGGAAGACCAACCTGTGTGCACAGATTTGTCCACAGTCTTTTTTTTTTTTCTTGAATTCTGCTGCGACCTCCCCTTTTTAGTATGTAGAATAAATTGTTAGAAAGTGTTTGGATTCAGTAAGAGTGAAGTTAACAGCAGGGAACAGGACCCATGCTGAGCACAATATGAAAAATGAAGTTGGATGACGGGGTTTGGGGCCTGGTTACCCCCCTGCAGACGTTCTGTGCTTGTGCCCGAGAACAGTGCGACACGCTCGTGTGCTCTTGCTGATAATGTGCTTGAATGCTTTCTTCTAAAGCCCCATGTTCTCTCCCCGAGCCTCTCTGTCATAAAGCGTGTCTGCTGCTGTAGACAAAGCTTCTCTGCCAATATGTGATTACATTTTAAATTACAGTGGTAAAAAGCTTCCTGTCTTTTTACACATTTATAATCGGTGAAAAAAGGTCTGGGGATTTTACAGCTGCTGTAGCAACTGATACCAGTCTAAAAGCCTGAAACCGACCAGGTAGGCCTCATCTTCACTGCCTGCTGTCTCGGGTATCTTGCCTTAATTACAGCACTCGGGTGCGAGTCTGGCGGCAGGCCACATCGCTTTAACTTGGGCTCATGTTG